TGAACTTCATTATTCTTTTATTTTAATATCAAGTAATAATAAATTTTTATTTAGGATATATAAAAATAGAAATATTCAAGTAATGTCGACGCCCGAATTTAAGAAAGGTCAGTAAAATCTCAATAGTTTGACAATGGCAATAGCTAATAATCTGTAGTTTTCATCAATTGAAAGAGAAGAACTCGGGACATCTTTTTGTCTGATACACTATATAAAACAAGATTATTTTTAAAATCCATAATCATTCTAAGACATCGAAAACACAGTATGAGAACAGTGTTTTGTTTTGACATTAACCTTAAATAGAGCGAGTCTGAATCTGTAGTTCAAGGCACGGCTTCGTTGATTATTTTCTCATATCTCAATATTGAACAAAGAACATCACGTGTGTATTCGACCAAGTAATATAGAATTCGTCTGGTTTTTAGCAAATTATATGACTTTTCATGAAAATTTTCATAAAACGAACCATTGGCTTTTATGCATTTTGTTTTGAATAGTTTACGTAGATCATGGTTTTAAAAAATTTATAGTACTAGACAAAAAGGCGTTCGAACTTCGATCTTGAAAATCACAGGTCTCTATCTGTCGCCATTGTCGAGCTATTGTGCCGGTACCCACCATTCTTTAATTCGGACCCGACCATGGGCATTATTTCAGATAAAAACGCAATCTAATAAAGCACTTTTTGCAGGATAATTCGGACACAGACTAAGTAAATATGTTTTATTCGATAAAATTAAGGTTGTTTTCTTAAACATAATTGGAGTGCTTCTCGAGCTGTACAGGATGTCCAATCTAAGAATCCATTAGTGATTTAATATAAGTACATAATATGTCTTATTCTTAATGCAAGATAATGAATATGCAATTAATTTTTTGACAATCTTATACATTAGTTTACACAGCGATGATTTTGAATAATAATGAGATTTCATAAATCATTCATCTGCAAAACATGTATTGTTCAATGTACTGAATAATCAGCTACATACTATTCATATATTTACGTAAGTCTGTCTAGGTAATATTGTTTTATGTTGTTTAATATTTAAATATTCACTTGAATCAAGTGTTCTTTTTTCTTTTTTCTTTTTTTTGTTTTATGTTACTTGAAATATCAAGTAAATAATGACTTCAATGAATTCTTTCAAAAAAAAAAGAAGCTAAGTGGAATGTCTAATTGCTTTTCAAAGGTCATCTTAGCTCGTTGATACCCTTGTATATATTATATATTCAACGCTAATGAACTATTCCTTTGTTGAAAGTTATTTACCGGCCGATCAAACAAATCTGCTGTTGTCCATCATCATAAACTGCTCAATATTACAAAGCAAAGAATAATAGAAGAAAGAAAAAGAAAACGGATAAGATGAACATTATTGTTAGTATACCTCGAGGAAAGATAAATAATGCTTACTTAGCATCGCCAAGGATAAAAAAAGATATATATATATATTCTTGTGTGATTATGAACCCAGAAGGTCTGTATTCTATCACCTATTTTCTGTTTATCACTAAATCTATGCATATCTATCCTTGATTTTGATGGACTAAAAGAGCTTTTTCCAGTGAATGATTGACAGACTTATATGACTTGCCATAATAGTGACGTTCACAAAACGACATTTCATCAATTTTCTAATAACAAATTCTATCGTCAACATACATATATATATTCTTTTATCTATTTATAAATGAGAACAAATGATACAATAAAAGATGAACACCTCCTGCTGTTGCCTCACATTACAGGCAACGTCTGGATATGTAAGTATATGATTTTTATTATTACATCATGGTCTGTTCTTCATACATATATGTTATGAATTTGTTGAGCAATGAACCAAGTCATCCATTTATTCATCCGATAGCCCACAAATAACAAAAATCATCATAGTTATTAGCTATCCACATGCACACTTGGGTGTAGTTTCTCCACCCTTCTTTTTTTTTCTTCTCTGTCTAGTCAAAGAATAGTTCGATTGGGAATAAATAAAGAAAAAAAGAAAGAAAGATTTGACCGCATTTACACCAATGCAATCTAATCGATTTAGTGCACCTTGTCTTTTACTCCCTTTACTAAACAATAGCAATAGTTATATGTCTATGAATGACACAATTTTCATAAGCAATAAATGACGGCTTAAGATTGAATTAAAACCTATATATATGCCATAACGATAAGAACCATGGTATCATATCTTTTTATTGTATTTCTTTTTATTCACTTACGATAATTTTATACGATATTTACTAACCGGTGTCCTTTAGGGAAGGGAAAAGAAAGAGAAAGTGGATATGAAGAACGAATAGCAGATTTGTTTATGCGTGAGACGGCTTAGAGAACGATTAGTAGAGAAAAAAGAGAAGAGAAGATGGTGACCTGTATAAAATCACGTCATCTTCATCTTGGCTACCGCTGGTCGCTTTTTTCTTCTCTCTCTCTCTCTTTCTCCCTTTTTCTTTCTGCTTCTCTCTGTCTATTTTTTTTCTCTTTTTTTCTCGACTTTGGTTTTATTACTATCGCTACCATCACCTAACCGTTTTGCTTTATTTACCCACCCGTCGCGAAAATTAATCATCCTTACTTTTGTCAACATTGATCAAGCACTAAGATAGCTCAACACCTTTGAACATGACAATAGCAGGTAGTTATTTATACTAACATCAATGTCTATTTGAATAAGGATGAATATTATTGATTTATTCGATTCAATGTATATATACTTTACTTTAGATCGAATACATGGTATGAATGATGTTATAGATAAAAAACCAGCTACTGAATCTTCATCTGTAGCTGATTTTAATGCTAGTGATGAAGACAGGTAGATAATTGAAATATTAAAAACAAATAATTAATTTACTTCTAATGAGTTCTTTTTGTTTTTTTAATAGTTGGCTTTTCGAAGATTTTAGTCGTGATGATGCTATTAATGCATTACAAAATCAATCAGATGGTACATTTCTTGTGCGTCCAAGTGGAACTATAAAAGGCGATCTTGTTCTTTGTGTGAAGTATATATGATAAAGTACTTTATTCTATATTGAACTATAGTTATTTGTATATGATAGAGAGGGTTCAAAAGTAAGTCATTATATAATCAATGTAACTCAAGAATTATCTCAATCAATATATAAAATTGGTGATAAAACATTTTCAAGTATGAAAGAACTTTTAACATTTTATAAACAACGTTTACTTGATACATCACCACTTGTTCAATTTGTAAGTTATTTATTTAATTAATCAAAAATGAAACAAGTTTTTTTATAAAGAATTCATTTTAATAGTATCCAAAACTACGTGTACGAACGAAATATAAATTTGATGGAAAGGTAAAAATTTAGTTTGGTTTTTTTTTTTGTTATTTAAAAAAATTGATTAATTTCTTTTTTTGAATAGGATGAAGAAGATTTGCCATTTAGAAAAGGACAAATTTTAATGATTATCAAAAAGGTAGAACCATTATGGTGGCTAGCAAGAAATAGCACTGGAGATAAAGGCATGATTCCAGCTAACTATGTTGAATATATTCGGTAAATAAATTAATTAATGTTATTTTTTTTTAAATATATAGTTTATTATATATTTTAGAGATGATGTTTGATTATTTGTTTTTATTAATTTTCATTTTTCTTTTTAACACGGAACAAATCACACAGTGACATTTGTATATATATATATATATATATATTTGTATGATTTTAATAAATATCATGTAGTGTGGCTTATTGCTCTCCATTGATTTTTTTTTCTATTATAATGTATAAAGTAATTTATATTCGAAAATTGAAAAATTATCTTTTCAATCTAGAATTTCAATTTTCAAATGATAAGATATCTTATTCACTATGAAGAAAGAGAAAGATTGATTGTTTTATTGTTTAATCTACTGTTGGAAGTAGATCGAATAAATTTTTGCATAATGATGGGCTTTACTATTAGCAAATGTCTGGTGATAAGATCTTGTCAATAGGGATTTGAACTAATGTTAATTAATGAAACGTTTGACATTGTAAAGAAGGACGTTTGCGTATATATTATACGTTAATTGATAGAACAGAATATGATGATCTAAGAATCGACAGATGTAAGAAGAATATTGCTTTTACCCTCCAGAGAGTTTTGACTAATATATTCATCTGCTATCAACATCGTTCAACAACTGTCAGCAACAATAATATGAAGTAGTTAACCACTTAGTCAAAAGCTCTATTGGATTAAAGCAAGAGTGAAAATATTCTATAAACAAGTGATTATTCAATAAGTTCAGGAATTTTCGGCATTATACTTTTTTCTAATGAAATCTTTCAGTTATGATCAACATATGGAATAGGCACATACATCAAATTTCCTTACAAAAATAAACAATACTGTATATCTCAAACTTAGATACGGTTTGACCCATTCACAATCATTTTACTGAGGTTTCGATATCCAACTTTAGGTATTTACGGAAAAAAACAAATAACGCAAATCCGACCTGATTTTGCACTTAGGTAAGTCTGATGACTCTAAGAATATCCTAAAAATTTCAGCAGAAAAGATCATTTCTTTATCGAAATATTGAATTTTCCGGTAAACTCGACTTTTGTGGCAAACAAAGACTTTTCCACAAATTCAATATCTCACCACGCGAAAATTATTTTCGGTTGAAACTTTCAGAATATACGCATGGTCATCAAACTTATCGGTAGACAAAATTTCAGATTGACAAACAGGTTAAAATCATTATACATTTCTATTAGATTAATTAAAAGCCCGCACAGAGCGAGCAGAAAAAAATTGGTCTTAAAGACTCATTGAATTATTCCGAAACACAGAAATCTTTAGTAAAAGGCGAAAGATTTTCTTGTGATTGTTCCGGAATCAGAGTTAAATTTTTCAACGCTATTCACATCATTTATAAAGGGAGAACGAACGCAAAAATTGCACTGTAGACATTTATTCATATATATGTATGTCGATCGATGATTCATTCTTTTCTTTATTTTTAACAGGTCGATTGACTTCGCAATATATCATCATGTGCATTAATCTCATTGGAAAAGTCAGGTCGTGAAAAGAATAATAAACCTTGTTCAATAGGATGATTGTGTTGATCAATATGCATATTTCGTCTAGCACGTCTATATAAAAGATATTTTATTCTATCATTCATTAACATAAATCCTAATTCATATAATTGAATTGAACGATAGATATTTGATGTCCACGATAGAATAATATTTGTACTTATCCAACAAACAACTGTTAATGTACTAAAAATCATAACATCAATTGGAAACAATCGATAATTAATCGGCATTGAACAAATGCGAAACGAAAATTATGAAATTAAATTTCTATAGTAACAAATTCATTTTATTTTATTTTCCTGAGCTTTTTCTTTTCTTTAGCTGTAAATATCAGACAAACACACATTAAGAATAATGTAATCAAGCATTACAAATACTAATGATTAATACAGAAAGAAAATGTACAAGAACAATAGAAAAAAAAAAAGAAAAAGAATGAGTGAATTTTTAAGGTGTAACTAATTGTTGCTTTTCTGCTAATTGACCTTGCATTTTTGCCAGCATATCTTGCATTCGTCGAAGCTAAAATTAAAAAAATTTGATTTAAAAAAAATGAAGAAAATAAAAAAGATTTACCTCATCATCTTTTTCTTTAATTAATTTTTTTTGTTGTTCATCGGCATCAATTTCATTCGTACGTAATTGTTTATTTTTTGGTTGAAGTTTTTCTGAACGAAAATTTTCATAATGAATTTCATGTGTTACTTCTTGTAAATCTTGCATATGTGTTCTATATAAACAAATGAAAAATCATAGAATTAAATTTATGTATTTCAAATTTTTACATAAGCATTGTTCGAAGTTTTATAAAATCACAATGATCAGAATTTTCAACCTCGACTAAACCCCATGGATACATTCGACCACGAATTTTTTTCCCTTTAACTTCCAATGTTTGTGTTGATGATATAACTGCAAATGGTACAGCATTTTTCAATTGACGATTTTGTTCTTTAAATTCTTCATCTTCATCTGAATCGCAATCAGGTATTTGATAAATTTGTATATTATGTTCACGAATTTGATCAAGAATCTAAATTTTATATTTAAAATAGAAAACTATTCATAATTTATTTTTGCATAGAGATGTAAGTCGATGTATTGATGGGCGACGGCTACAAGAGTTTTGAGTTCCACCGACTTCAACAGTTTCAGGCTTTAGCGGTGATGACTCTACAAGTCTCAGGCTTCAGAGGCGACTCCAAAAGTGCCAGGTTTCAGCGGCTCCAACAATTTTAGGCTCAGGCGACCATAATAGCTTTTCGATGCATTGTCGAAAACTTTTCTGCATTTCGAGAAGTTTTCGAATGAAAAAAGAGAGAAGACGACGGCAGAGAACTTATTGATAAGAAACCAAACAGTAATGTCTCCAAAAGCTGATTTAGGACGTAGGAAATTTTGAAAAATTAAACGTCTATTTTTATGTTGTACTGGCTGTAATTACAGCAATTGTTTTGAGACACGATGACGGCTCAGCTGATCGGCTTACACCTCCATTTCAACATACATTTTGTTTCATTTGAACAAGTTCATCTGGTGTTAATGCATCAGATTTAGCAATTATTGGAACAATATTAACTTTATGATGTAATTCTTTCATACATTCAATATCTAATGGTTTAAGTCTATAAAAAGAAATTATTTGAATGAGAAACAAATAATATTGAACTAACGAACCCTCGAGTAAATGGTGATATAAAATAGAAAAGACAATGAACGCGATTATCAGATATATTTCGACGATTAAGACCACTTTCGTCGTTTAAATAACGTTCAAATTGAGTATCAATATAATTTAATATTGGCTTATAACAATCACTTGTATTTATACTATCACCATAACCAGGTGTATCAACAACAGTTAAACGTACTTTAACCCCACGTTCTTCAATTTCAACAGTTGATGCTTCAATTTTAACTGATTGACGAATTTTTTCTATTCA